ATATACATAAGCAAAAAATAAAGTGTTTATAATTGACATTCCAATTTTAAGTCATCTCAGAGGTATTAAGTATATTAATGAATAAAATTTAAACAAAATCCAGTTATTTATCCATTAAAGATTAAAGTCAGAAGGTACTGCCATTTTATGCTTACTTATTATTACTTATTATGAGCTGCTTTAAATTTATTTACTTTTAGCTTATTTTTATTAACAGCAGCATCACTAGTAAGAGTCTTACAGGTAGACTATCTTTTTCTAGATTAAGTGATTAATGACATAGTAACTAATTATTTTAAATAGAAAAAATGGCAAGAATTAAAAATAGTCAAGTTCACCTTTGAATGTGTCTCCTGCTAAATATTTTGTGTTGCTTATTTTCCCTTGTGCATGGGTATGTTCAGGTATCAGTAAGATGCATGTGCATGAGCTCAAGGAACATGACTACTGGAGTTGCCATTACACATTGTTGCGTGCCTTGTAATTTCCCCCAAAGACGGTAGGGATTCTTTTATTTTCTCAACTAGCCCAAAGAATCTTTAGTTTGACTTAAGATAAGTATGAATTATATAACTTTGAAGATGGAGGGGAGAGTGACCTTTTAATGCACTCCTTTTCCCCTAGAGTATTTGCGTATGGAATTATGAAGTGAAAGTTTAATATAAATATATACCTATAGTAAAAATACTATTCTGTGGTTTAGTTACTTACTTTAGCTGTATTGAAGCACACATCTGTAAAAAGCAAGTGCTTGTGTCAGATTCTGAAATTAACCAAAAGAGAAAAGACACTGAAAGAGAGGAATGTTATCTTGTTCTCTCTTATTCCCCGCCATGCCTGAATTTTTTTATTTTTTTTATTCAGAGAAGGTGACATTGTTTTCCTCAACTGTTTGTTTTTTGTTTTTGGTAATTGTGAACTGACTTCATCTGAGCTGCTGATGTAGTCTCAGGCCCCATGGCGTGGAGAACTGAATCTAGGGTAGAGGAGTAGCGATCCTTTAACACACATCCACCTAGAAAGCCCCTTGGGGTCATCCACACTGATGTTTTATGTGCTTTACCCTTCGTTTTGCAAAGCAGCTTAATGCTGGGTTACATGTCTCTCTCTTTATGAATTCAGTCCTCCTCAGAGTGAAGCTTCCCCGGTGGCTTCTCCAGATCCCCAGCGCCAGGAGTGGTTTGCCCGGTACTTCACATTCTGAAGGAATTGGGTTGGCTCAGCTCTGTGTGGACTGTTACTAAGAGCATGACCTTAGGATCATTAAGTGAATAGGCCTTCCTATTGTCAAACACTGTGAACGAGAAAGGATTTGTCTCTCCGATTTGAAAATGCACTGTATTTCTGTGATATTTATTGGAATCATTCTTATAAGGTACTATGTTATGTGTGTAATTATAATAGTTATTTTTATTTGAGATGGAAGAGTCTTTAACCTTTGTAATTACTGCATAATAAATTTTGTTAGAACAAATAATGATGCTTTGCATTTTATGTTTTTTTCATTTTTTTCAAGTAAGTTTATTTAATTTTTAAATACATTTTGGTTCCAGGTAAGACGTGCCAAAAAGTTTTACTGCACAATAATTAAAAAATACTAAATTATTTGGTTTCAATAATCATAACAAAATCAGGAGGGACAAATATGTCATCTTAATTTGTTCCATTACTATGTATAGCTATAATTAAACTGTTCTCTAAACTTACAAGGCCATTCCAGTCCTTCTCAACTTCTTCCAAAAAACTGAACTCCTTTAATTCCCAACGCATTCCCAAATTGGGAATGAAGAAGTAAAATTGTCACTATTTACAGGTGACATAATTCTATATACAGAAAACCCTAGCCTGGCTGGTGTGGCTCAGTGGTTGAGCATCTACCTATGAACGAGGAGGTCACAGTTAGATTTCAGGTCAGGACACATGCCTCGGGCTTAATCCCCAGTAGGGGGCATGTAGCAGGCAGCTGATCAATGAGTCTCTCTCATCACTGATGTTTCTATCTCTCCCTCTCCCTCTTCGAAATCAATAAAAAAAGAAAAATGTTTAAAGATCTACCTGACTCTTGAACCATAAAAAAAGAGAAAGCCCTAAAGACTCCACAAACTATTAAAAACAATAAAAATGCAATAAAGTTGGCAAATCTTTGACAATTTGACATCCACGTGCACACACTAGACACAGATCTCACACTCTTTACAAAAAAATTAACTCAAGGTGTATCATAGACTTAAATGTTAAACACAAAACTGAAAATTCTTGAACATAAGAAAAAACCCTGATACCCTTGGTTTGGTGATGACTTTTTAAACACCACCAAATGCACAATCCATGAAAGCAGCAATTGATAAGGTGAACTTGATTAAAATTAAAGATCTGCTCTGTGAAAGACAATGTCAAGAAAATGAGAAGATAAGGCCACAGCTTATCAAACACATGTAATATTTGCAAGGCATATCTGATAAAGTACTCTTAAAACTCAACAGTAAGAAAAAAAGCAACCTGATTTAAAAATGGGCAGAAGAGGCCCTCGTCAGTTTGGCTCAGTGGATAGAGCATTGGCCCATGGACTGAAAGGACCCAGGTCCCAGATTCAATTCTGGTTAAGGGCATGTACGTTGGTTGCAGACTCGATCCCCAGCCACAACTTCCTTCAATGTGTCTCTCTCACACTGATGTTTCTCTCTCTCCCCCTCACTTCCACTTTCTCTAAAAATCAATGGAAAATATCTTCGGGTGATGGTTAACAATAAACAAACAAATAAATAAATAAGATGGGCAAAAGACCAGATGGCACCTCACCAAAGAAAATACAGAGATAAAAATAAGCATATGAAAAGATGTTCAACATCTTATGTCATTGGAGAAATGCAAAATAAAAGGACAATGAAACACCTATTAGAGTTAGAATGACCAAAATCCAAAACACTGACAACACCAAATGCTAGAGAGGATGTGGAACAACAGGAATTCTCATTCATTGCTGGTGGGATACAAAATGGTACCGCCACTTTGGAAAACAATTTGGTGGTTTCTTACAAAACTATACCATATGTTCCAGCAGTCATATTCCTTGGTACTTATCCAAAGGAATTGAAAGCTTATTTGCACCAAAACCTGCACATGGATGTATACAGCAGCCTTCTCCATAGTTGGCAACACTTGGAAGCAGCCAAGATGTCCTTCAGTTGGTGAGTGGATAAAGTGTGGTACATGCAGATAATGGAACATTATTTAGCACCAAAATGAAATGAGCTATCAAGCCATGAAAAGACATGGAGGAACCTCAGATGTATATTACTAAGTGAAAGAAGCCAATTTGAAAGGCTACCCACCTACTGTATGACTTCAACTATATGACATCTTGGAAAAGCAAAATTATAATGACACTGAAAAGATCAGTTGTTGTTAGCAATTAGGTGGGAGGGAGGGATGAACAGACAGAACGCAGAAGATTTTTATGGCAATGTAACTATTCTGTATACCACAATACTGTATACATGTTAATTGTACATCTGTCAAAACCCACAGAATGTATACCACCAACAGTGAAACTACTGTAAACCATGAACTTTGGGTGATAATCATGTCAATGTAGGTTCATCCACTGTAACAAATGCACCACTCTAGTAAGCAGATGTCAGTAGTGGGGTAGGTTGTGGGTGTGTGGGGACAGTGGGTATATGAGAACTCTCTGTACTTTCTGCTCGATTTTGCTGTGAACCTAAAACTCTGAAAACTTAAGTTTACTAATTTTTTATTTAAAAATAAATTTTAAAAGTTCAATTGTCTTCCTACACACTGGAAAAGAACAATCAGAAATTGAAATTGAAGATATCATTTACATAGCATCCACAAGTATGATTTCCCCCTCCCGCATACCTTTATGGGCAAATCTGAGTTAGAGATAGATTTAACAAAAAATCAAACATTGTTGACAGTTATTTAACACCTAAATAAATGGTGAGGTTTACTTTGTTCAAAGGGCATATGAATCAATATTATTAACATGTAAAGTCTTCCTATATTACCTACAGATGCTTTGCAACTGCAACAAAAATCCCAGCTTTTTAACAGAAAATGACAAACTGGTTTTAAGAGTCATACGGAAACACAAAATTCCAAACATCTTCGAAAAAGAACAAAATTGAATGCCAAACACTATCTGATTTCAACTCTATATTAAAGCTACAGTAATCAAGGACAACACGGTATTTTTGTAAGGATAAGACAGATATGGCCACAGAATAGGAAAGTCTTAAACCACACATATATGGACAACTTTATTTTTCACATAAATGCAAAGGTTTTCAATGGGAAAAGGATAGCTCTTTCAAGAAATGGTGCTAGCTATCCATAGGCAAAAGAAGTTACCTAAGACCGTATTTTCGCAGGTACAAAAATTAGCTCTAAATGGATCATAGGCGTAAACATAGGATCCTCCAAAACTTCTAGAAGACACAGGAGGAAAACCTTCGTGGCTTTGGGTTTGGTAGAGTCAAAAGCGTACTCCAGACAATGCCTCTGAAGCACCGCACACCTTCCCATTCCACCTGGGGCGGCCGCTCTGTCGGCCCCGCCCAGGAACTCCTCGCGCCCCGCCCACTCTCGGCTCCACCCCCGACCCTCCTGGCCCCACCCCTCCCACTGCGCCCCGTCCACTCCCAGCTTCACCAACATTCTCCTGGGCA